ACTCAACTTACTCGCCTAAACTCTCCGTAGCGTGACGCTGGACGGCGGAAAGTATATATATAATTATAATAAAGTTACAATAAATTAAGTTAATATATAATTATATATACAGTACCTAATTTATATATAATTTATATATAATTATATGTACAGACGATAGTAAACTCAATTTACCCGCCTAAATTGTCCGTAGCGTGGCGCTGGACGGCGGAAAGTAGTTTGGCTGCCCGATGACGTTTTACGTAATTATAGGAGGTTTTTTTTTTACCGTTGTTTACGGATACCGCCACAATTTTTTCGCCGTCTTATAGGAATCGTAATTATAGGAACCCGTCTTATAGAGGGATCTACTGTAACTAGAAAGCGAATTATGATAACGTAAAACTAAAAAGACTACAGTATTACTGTTTTAAAAAAAATATGCAAAAATTCGGTTATGTACTACGGTCTAGTTGGACTGCTAGCTGTAGCGGGTGAAAGATTAGGGTGCTGGAGGATGCCCAAAATATATGAAAGCCAATGTGCCCGTCCGGCACTCGGCTGCCCTACCTGGCCGAACCCACGATGGCTCCAGAAGAAATCCCTCTTAGTGTCTAGAGAGCGGAAGAAGTAAAAAATAAGAGAAAATTTCTTGCTTGAGACAGTTACCAAAACTTCATAAAATATCATAATTGAAAAGAAAGCCCATCAGTGATAGTTGATTGCTGATTTACGCCTTATCAATGAACTGGACACTTGGAGTTCCCAGGGTTTCTCTGCTTTAACACCTAAATAGAGATACAATTTCCCAGTCTTCCTGGAAGACATCTCTCTTCGGTACATCTTCCAAGTGTTGCGTTGCCATATTCCATCAAACCAAATCTCGAGGCGTGTCATTTAAATATGTGGTCTGTGTAGGCAAAAATGTATTGACAAAGTGAGAAGATGCAGATCATTTTGACGATGTATCGGCCGTCTAATGCAGTGCCATTACGAATACGGATGTAACAGAACAATCTGTATTGTACCGGTCACGCTTAGCGTGCTTATGACTTTTATGAAAATTTCCTAAATAAAAAAACGCTTTGTATACTGTTCTATGTAATATATTTATTTTTTCTTGCGACTATTTATATACACCAAGATTAATTAGGATTAATCACGTTGTTAGTTACTTATAGCTTTAAAAGATAAATTGATAAGATGAATCCTATCTTTGATAAGGCAACGAGAGAGATATGCCAAAGGGGTGCCTTCGGGAGACATTCTATGGAAATATAGCCCCTATTTAGGTGTTACAAATGTGAAGAAAACCCGGAAAACTCCACCCCATCTCTTTATAGTTGAGTATTTCGTGAAATTTGATAGGATCTATTGAATTTAAAATCTTTACAACAAGAGGACGTCTAATTAGTTCCGTTGAATGACAATGAATGAAAATCAAGAAGTAACAAAATCTAAAAAGAATCTCAAAATAATTTTATTTTTTCGTTAATTAAACTACTTAAGAAGGATCAATAGCAAGGCTATTATTTATGGACTAGTTATTTTTGTCAAATTAAACCCAATTAACTAATTTAAGAACGTTAAATAAATTTTTATAGCATCGTTTAAGGCTTTGAACTTCAAGTAAATGAATTTTTTTTTCCTTTTCAATTAAATTCAATGTCGTTTGTTTTAATTTAATAACATTATTATTAACGAAAATTATATAAATTTTTAACAGGAAATGAGGTTAGAAAGAGTAACAATAACATTTTTTTAATGTATAATTTTTAAAAATTTAGGTTATTTATCGGTAACGTGAGAACTTATTAACTAGACGAGCATAACTTCGTGGAGGTCGATAAGAAACAGAATTTTTACAAAATAAAAGAGTAAAAAGAAAAAGGAATCATTCAGCTGTTTCGTTATTAAATAAATCCAATTAAATTCTCTAATTATTTTAATAATTTATAATAAAACTAATATTAAAATCAACACCAATAACGGCCAACTTAGCGGCCGTTTTTGTATTCTTGTCAATACAGAGGTTGCGGCCAAAGTTTTCATCTGTAAAACGTGAACGTCGAACGTCGAGCGCCGCTATCTTATAAGCGGCGCTCGACGTTCGACGTTCACGTTGGCAATAAATCAAAACAGATGTTAATAAAGACCGGTAATTTTTTCCTCATTAACCTCAATTTATATCATAATTTTCATTCACATATTGCAAATTATTATCGACATTAATTAGAATAAAAATAATGCTTTATAACCTAATTTCGGCGAATAAAATTAATTATAATAAATCTGAATAAAGTAATGATATTTAATTGAGGTTAATTCACGTTTTTCTCTCGAAAGATGAGAAAAACATGACCCAAGAAGACATGTAGGTCACAAAACCATCCGTTAAACGTCACGCTAATCAACGTATGGTTAGGGAAAAAAAATAAAATAAAATAAAAAAAAGAATTATTTAATTTTTTCTTAACATAATGCCCAATTACCCTTCGATACAGTTTTGATTCGAATGTCACACAAAGACGGAAATAGACTCTCACTCCATTTCCTCGTTCGAATTGTCTAAGAGATGTTCCATGCTTTCGAGTTTATGAATAGCCCTTTTATAAGCACTTAACCCATTAGAAGTGCCCATTATTTTTCTTCTAAACTTTCGATATCATTTTGCCATACATCAAAGAAATTTCAAGTCAAGTCATACTTTAATGTCAATGACTTTCTCGTTCGATTTTTATATAACTATAAAAAGAAGTGTCTAGTTTTTCCCCTATAGAATTCTATGTATGATTATAGAATTATTTGATTAAATTACGGCTTTTATACCATGTTTATTAATGTAAATAATTACATTTTTAATGGATTTTAAAGCCTGAACTTTGATGAATTGTTCGTTCCGATTATGGCAATTTCTTTCTTTTTTTATATGGAAGATTATTTTATATATATATCGTTGCTTTCTGAAAAGGAAGTGATTATATCTTTAACTGGTTTATTTTAGGATTTAGAAAAGGTTGATATAAATAGAAAGATAAAGACAAATAAGAAATTTTAAGGTAGACAGACACATCGCCCCATGGTCGACGGTGTAAATATACGTCCCTATCGTATTTACAATTATAAAATCTGGAATGCTTTACTCAATCCTAGAGGAGAGCAAATGTATGCCCGTTTGGTACCCTTTGCGGACGTTCATGGCCACCTCTCAATAGCGGTAACCTCTAAACGGCGGCCATCTTTTATGTATTTCGTCGGTAGTCGTTGTTCGGAGGTTTAAGTATATTTGGCATTTGCAAAGGCAGACTATTTAATCCAAAACTCTTAAAGTTTAGATTGAAGATTCGAATTTGTGAAGTAAAATTTCTCGAAATTATTGAACAGAACTTCATAAATAAATAGCTGTGTCAGGTTTTATTATGTTTAATTGAAAAGAAAGAAGATAAGTTTGTGTTTTATAAAAAGATACAGTTTTTTTTTTTGTAAGGTTTAATATGAATATTTCAAGTTTGTAATTGAGTGGAAAAATAAAATATATTTTGAAATCAATAGCCTCGAAAGTTAAGAATCTCTATCAAATATTTAAAAAAACAGCATACAAAAATATACGAGATTACTTCAAATGACTCTTTTTAATCCCTTATATTGAGGAAAGTATTGAAGATAAAATCATACAGTAAAAAGTAAAGCACTGGAATGAACTTGAGGAAAAAATCCTCTAAAAAAAGAGGAAATTCTTTATATATATATTTTCTATTCCTCATAAACATTTTAGTAATACACATTTTACCTTTCGATTTTATCGTCAATATTATTTTCGAAATTTAAAACCGAATGAATTTCGAAAATGCACTGTATATATATTTTTTATTGATATTAATAATTAATTTAATAATAAAATTACAATTACTTTTTTTTCTTTTATCAAGAATATGGATATACAGTATTTAATTAAACTTATAGTTTATTAAGGGGAAACTTTGAGCAACTTTTAACCCCTCCCTCACTTTGTGTACAATGATGTACTTTTGGTAAATCCCTCCACTTTCTTTTTATCTTTTCGTCCTGTAAACATTAAAGGTTCTTTATATTAATTAAATTGTAGATTCGGCCAGGCCCATAATGAGGGAAGGGCCCGACTTATCAGAGAGCGATCGCTCATCCCCCACACCCGAATTCGAACCTCCAGAACGGTAGGTTTATATCGCCTCTTCTATCCGTAGTGGGCGTAGAAAAACCGGATTCGAACCCGGATTCTCTTAAATGGATTGGATTGAATTGATGGAATACGGTAACATAACCCTCGACAGATCTTTAAGAGGATCTTCGGGGGTTGTCTTTCGAGATGACTTTATAATTTAACTGACCCTATTTAGGTGTCAAACACGTAAAGAAAACCTAAATAATAAAAAGGTAAAACAATTCTGTATAAAGAAATCGATAAGTATAATTAATGAACTGATATTTCTATAATTAGATGCCTTGAGGCTCTCAATGACACACTTAAACCTCGAAAATTATGCCTGTAAAACACCGTTTCACGCAGGTAACCATCCATGCAGCCCTTGGATGAGCAAATAAAACTAATTCTCTTTATCAATCTATTCTTAATAGAATGCGAACTTTACCAATAGTTATAATGTACCGTTATGCTATCGAGTAACAGAAGTAAATCAACATGATCACGATAATGGTAAGATTTTAATTCTTCAATTCAAATGTCTCGGTTAATTAATTGAAAGTTTTTTATTTTATAGATATTTAATTTGATTTATTTGGCGAAAGGAGTCGAAGTATTTACATCGACGGATCTCGTACCCAAAGCTTTAACAACTGTTCGAATTTCTGGTAATGCCACTCTAAATCCTTCGAGTGTGGCTGCTCTTTCAGAAATACTTCACACGTTAGAATCAATTAAGGAATTAAGAATGAAAGAATTTCAAGAATTAAAATTAAAAGAAAATAAAACTAAAAACAATTCGGTTTCTGATTATATAAAGTCTATAGATCGAGATATGGAAGAGATGATCCCAGTCAAGAAGACTTATGGATATAAAGTAACCGTTTATAAACAACCGTTTGGAGGTAATTCTTTTATTATAAGTAGAAAAATTATAAATATAATGATTTAAATTTTATTTTATACCATTTTCGTCACTTAAATGGGGCATTTTTCCCTAGAAATTCTACCCCATTACACTCTTTGGCAGATAGCCCAAGTGTAGTTGGGTTACCTATGGCATTAAACTTCATTATTATTTTAGTCTAAACAGATACGTTAACTTATAGAATTGAGGAAAAATTTTAAACGAAATAGCGAATTTGTTTTAATATTTTAGAAGAGAAACCGGTAGTATATAAGCAAGACATAGAAGTGGATGCGGATCCACATCCCGAACCAATAGAAGATTTGATCCACGCTGAAAGTAAAACATCTCGCAAAACAATACCAAAGAATAAAAGGTGAGAATCGAATCAGAATTATTAAATTATATCCCAATTTATATTAATTTATTATCTGTTTTATATTAGTTCAGTAGTTAGTACTTACGATAAGGGAGAGCATCAGAGACAAACTTCCGTTAGAGAAAAAGAACTCGAAGGTTATTCCAATAAGAAAAGAAATAAATTGCATAAAGTAACAGATATCAAACAAAATACAGATATAAACGAACACGAAAAAGAAGCCGGATCGGAGCAAGCAGTAAGAGAAAAAACAGAAATCGAATATTATGAAAAAGGTTAATCTTCATCATTTGAGAAGTTCTAAGAGGCCGTTCAAGTATGACGTCGGCAAAAATTTGCCCTTTTTGATTCGTCCTTCCCTATCGTCAGAAATACAATTCTATGATGACTGGGAAGGAACTGAACGACAAATGCAAACCTACGTCATCAAATACTCACCCCAAACGTCAGATTCAAATGAACCACTTTCCTCCATAAACTGCTGACGTAATACTTAAATGGTTCCTAGTAAATGAATATATTTTTATTTTATTTTATTTTATTTTTTTTTAAAGAACGATTTATGGATACGGAGCTTCCACATTCTGTTGGAGATCACAGAGTATCTTCAGCAATGGACAGTTATACAAGTAGTCAGCCTTTAAGTACTCAAGATAGTTTTCCTCAGGTTATTTACGAAATGCCAGCAGTCACTACGGAAAATTCGTATATATCACTCCTGCCTTATTCATATTATAGAAATAATGTAGTCCCACCGAGAGACGAATTGACGAAATCTTCTACTTATCACGCTCATTCCTTTAGAAAACCATCGACGTATACGACATATTCAACAAATTCTTTAGGCGATAAAACTGGAGGACACGTTTGGGAAGGATTTAGAGAAAGAGGATATAAAATCTCGTCCCAAAGAGAATTTGTAGTAAAAGGTTGGCTATTTTATTATTATTATTAAAATGTATTAACTATTTTTAATTGTATTTAACTTTGTACGGTGCCCTCAAATCTTGCAACTCAAATTTGATGGCACAAACTTGAAGTCAAATTTGAGGCACATTTAAAGCCTTTTTTAATGATATTTTAGGGGGTGGCACACCTCCAGTAACCTCCCAGAGACTCGATAAACATAACCAAATATAAATGAGGGATAGTGGGGTATCCTCACCCCAATCTCGATAAAGAAAGCCAATAAAAGTGTTTTTTTTATTTAATTTTTTTAAAAAGATTCTTGTTACAGTGATATTAAGATATATTCTTTTACAGATCGATACAAGAATAAGAAATATGGAAGAACAGATGCTGCACAGAAACACTACAAATCGTCTCACGTCTTAAGTAAAGATGAGAAGGATCTCAGAGAACATAGTTATTCTAGAAACGTTAAAGATTCTTCATCACAGGCGGTAGGATATAAAACAGAAAAGTATAAAAAGCCTAAACACGGCGGAAAAAATACCGATCTATTAGATTCTTCAAATAAACACCTCGAAACAGTAATTCAACCTAACAATTCCAGCAGCGTAGAAAGATACACGACCGATTCAAATAAGAATAACCAAAGAATTCGAGGAAAAAATAGGAAAAGAAACGAAACATCAGTTAAAAATTCCGCACCAACAGGGCAACCCAGCATTGCCGAAATTATCAAAGTTAGCATACAAGAAGCGGTAAATCGTAGTAGAAATAGCATTAAACTTAAAGAAAATGTAACATCTAATAAAGAAAATCGTTCTTTTAATGATAATAATAATGGTGACAAGGGTCTTATGATTGTTTTCAAGTCACGCGCGAATAACGTCAGTACGAAACCACCAACAAGATTTACAAACTTATATAATTATACCGTCGGAGGAAGAAATTCTAAATATTATAATAAATCTATAGACGATAGAGCCGTAATTTATAGAAATGCAGAACGTAAACAGAAAACGTCTTCCAATCCTACAAACAGAAATAGAAACAGACATAGAAGTAGAATGCCCGATGATGGAGGATCTCATAGAGCATTGCAAACGTTTAACCATTCTCCTCATGAAAGATTACCTGAAATCATCACAATAGAACCAAATAACAATCCAAGAAAGATGCCCGATACAAGAAAAGTTCAAGCAACTTTAGTGAATGCCAGTATTAATCCTCTTCGTTACATTATTGATAGAAACATTAAACAAACAAACGACGAAGACTTCAGCAAAAATACAGCTTATAAAATGTCAAACGTAACTGAAATTCGAGATCGTCCAGTTCTTCTCTATGGTCAAGAAGAAAATAAACCAAATGTCTGGTTTATGCCACCCCCCGTTCGATTAACGTAGAAGAATATAATAAATCGTATTTGTCTTGTGGGCCTAGCATATGTATTTTAAAAAAAAATTACATTTTTGTATAGAATACTCCATTAATTTTCATTAAATTTTATAATAACAATTGTTTTTTTTTTCAAAATGGCGTTGTTTATGTTAGAAGGAAAATGGCACCTTACTCGTTAGAAGGAAAATTACTAGATGAATAATTTATTCTTCCTTCTAGACAGAAAAATATCTTTAAAAATTAAATGAAAACATAACTTTTTTCTATTCAGATTATCGAAAAATAAAAACATTTAGTTAAATATTATCAATTCTGAAATGATATTCAATTTTTAGAATCTCTGCCCTGTGGGTACTAAGAGGGCCTTTATTCGGGCCTTTCTTGAGTTCGGCCAGGCCCACAACGGGGCAATTGGGGGTGAAAGATGGGGTCCAACGTATCGCTACAAAAAAAATTAAGTTTTTAGATCGCCTGGATAGAAACACGCGCGATTTTATTACTCATTTTTTTTAAAAAAAACTTGACAGTAAATGTATTTTTATTCCATCCGATAAAGAATATTTCATTATTCACCTGTAAAATAAATTAAACATAGACCGTAGCAATTGTTCTGTTTGAAAAAATGATCGTTTTCTGTCATACCAAAAAAGGGGAGGAAGAGGAAACAATGATAGAAAGGAAGTAGTATTTCAGAATAGGGAAGTCTGAACAAGCTTTCATTCCATGCTTTCGATCTGGGATTATAAAAATATCTATAATTTATATAAAAATGAGAGACCTTTGCGTGTAATACGGTCGTGTGAATGACCAGATCGCGTATCCGATCATTCAAGCAGAGGAAACATTCAAGTGAAGCAGATGCTTCTACTCTCTTCTAAACGGGTAAGATTTATGGTTTAAACTCTACTCCTACTTCTTACACTCTTTATAAGTTTAAATTAAGTTTCTTTAAGTATTTCAACCATTTTCTAAGATAAATAATCGAGTTATAATACGTGAAAGCTAATCGTAATCCAAATACCAAAGGTCTACTGTCGCAGGATTCAATCGTGAATACGATTTTTAAATAATAAATAATCGATGTGTCTTGCGAATTGTATTTAACGTTATTTTCTTAAACACGGAGCAGGAAGATGACGGATATATAATTAGGGAAAATTTAAAAGGTATATTTCTTTATAATAATAAATGACAGCAACTTGCAACAGGTTAGTTTGGTGGGATAAAGCAAAGCAACACACGAGTGATCTGTGGGGGTTCCTCGCGGGAGGACTTTTTATAAAAGATTGGCTTTTATTTAGGTGTTAGATGTGTGAATAAAAGCTCGGTTCCTCGCAAAAAAATATATTTAAATGTTATATAGGTGAAGTAAAAGGGGTTCCTCACGAGAGAGAAATTGGCTTCTGTTTAGGTGTTAAATACGTGAAGAATAGGGGGTTATTCACAGGAGAACCTTTTATAGGAGATTACGCCCCTAATTAGGTGTTAGATAGGTTAATAAAAGCCGGAAATCCGCACGTGGTCAGCTCGTTGGTGAGGAGCGAAACCACGAGCAGTGCTCGGTGATTTTATCCACCTGGCTACTGGTGGGCCAACATGCAACAAGGTTAAAAATAAAAGACAAAATTTAGTCTATACGGGGAATGTTAACATTTAAAAAAGTGGATGCGAAATACATTTTAATTCCTATTTTAATCCATCAGAAGATGAGGATCTTCCGATAATGACAATTGAATCGTAACGAAAGTAAACGATTTAGTTTTAATAACTGAACATTTTCTATCAAATTTAATATTGCGAATTACAATTTACATCTTTAATCTTATAGAGTTTAGTTACACTAACCTATTAAAGAATAATAAATCGTTTATAAATGATTTTATTGTGAGATTTAGATCCTTTAGTCGTAAAGAAACTAGTTTAAAACTTTCATTAGAAGATTAAATATCGTTGAAATTAAACAATATTCTCTTTAATGCACAATTGAAACGACTTAAGTGCGGAAGTATAGCGTATAGAGTTTTATGAGGGTCAGTCACCCTCCGTTCGGTCTCCCATGATCAAGGTAGGAAAATTGGTCGAGTCACGTTAACCATATAATTCGGTTTGTTGAACAGCTAAACAGCCTAACGTCCTTTTTTATCGCCATGTCTACTCCTTTAGAAATTCGTTAGACTCTTAGTGATAAGCGGAGCGAATGGTACAAGTGCATAAATCTCTCTTACACCATTTTAATTCTGAGAATTTTTCGAGTAATTCGATGGAAATCAGGCCAAAAAAATGTTTCATAACAGCAGATTTTCCGGTAAGTTTTTGACAGAAAAAAGTAATAATAATAATAATAATCAATTTAAATAAATAACGCTTATGGAATAAAAAATTATCGAGTAACAATAAAGCAAGGTTAAATAAGCGGAGGTATGCGCTTGACTTGTTTTTTATTTACTTCGTGTTCAGAAGTAGGCCAGGGGCATACAGTATGTGCGATTCTTCACAATCGAGTTAAATAGATTGAGAAGAATTACTCCCTTAAAGCGGGGGAGCTTTGAAAATGATTAAAAGTCCCACAAAGAGACGAATCGGATTAAACATGGATGCGGAGGATTTAGAAATACGATTTCCTAGAGTACAAATGAAAAGAAGTCGAAACGTTATCACGGTAAGAGGATAATGTAGTTCGATCCCTCATCTAATTTTAATATTATTATTTTTTGCATGCAAATTGTTGTAATGTTTGCATACAAAACACATTTTCGAAACGATAAAACACAAATCTGTATGTCAAGTTAAATTAGATACCATTTAATAATTGCTTTTACGGTGTTCTTTTTAGCCAATATTTTCTATTAGTAAATATAACATCAGTTTTATAGAGATAGAAATCACCTAAGTTACCTTCTAGCTTGAGAAAATATCCACTTCCCCACCGTTTATATGGCCCTATAATCATTAAGTTAAAGTTCCTAATTTATATATACCATGTAATTGTGATAAACTTGTATACAATTTATTTATTTATATGGACTTCTACATTTATTCAATATTCAGTTCTATCTATAGCAATCTTCTGAAACATGTAAATGGAATTTTATCAAGGCAACCGCTCTCAAAATGATATATTTAATGATTTTATCAAGCCTGAGGCAACATCTTTCTATAAAAATCACCACCTAAGAGAGTACAAAACAACCAAAAAAAAAACCACTGTTAATGATGTTTATGTCCTTTAACTAGTGAAATTATACGAATAATTGAAATTTTATATACAATAATTTATATATTAATTAATTAATTCAGGGCTGAAACTAATATAATTTTTATAGTGCTTACTTTAGATTATACACGTGTTATACAGATAAAATACTATATCTTATCTCTTAAGTATTTCATGCACTTCACGTGTAATGAATAGATTTTATCAGTAAGATTTCTTTAACAGATTGCTTATTTTTATCTCATTTTATTCTATCTTATACGAATAAGTTAAAATTAGAATAGATTTTACATGAATATATTTACTATTCAAACGAAATGAAATAGATAAAATATTATCTAAATACCTGTTTTTATTTTACCTTAAAATTCAACCGCTAGGGAAAAATTAGCGCTACTATCTCCATAACATGTAAATTATACACGTTTTATAGAGAATTTCGAGTGTAAAAGGGATGGAAAAACTCAACGAATGCAGTTTTTAGAGCATGGAGATGGAGGAGGGCACGTAGAGCCAATTTCCCATTCCGCATCTCTAATCACACCTTAAAAATTATTGCAATTGGTTTCTTAACTCACGAAATTCGTTAGAAAACGGTACGTAAGTAATATATACATTAAAGAGACAACAGCACTAAATTTCGCCCTAGCGGTTAAATTTTAAAGTAAAATTTTTCCCGAAAATATAAACCGTACCATGTAATCAATATATATACCAAATTTGGTTGAGATTTACCAAATAGTTATTTCTACAGAGAGCTCTAAACACCTAAACTTTAATCACGATCACTCGTAAAATAATTAGCGAGGTTGCGGCCGAAGTTTTCGTGAACGTCGAACGTCGAGCGACGCTTACAAGATAGCGGCGGCGCTCGACGTCCGACGTTCACGTTTTAGAGATGAAAACTTCGGCCGCAACCTTCTAATTATCTGCACGTGACCAGCCTGTTCGTGTGGTTCGAACCGGCGACTAACTACTGGTTAATATCTAATTTAATTAAATAAATATTATACGAATCGAATATATAGCACTTTTAATAGAATTATAATTAAATATTTAAAAATAGAATGTTCCGCATCAAGAATTAAACTTATGATCACGTACTGTACATGCATCACGGATTTTAACATTTATTGGATATATAAGTTGATTTTATTATCTGGAAAACTATAATTATTATTCGATATATATTTTAGTCATTGTTAGGCCATGGGAAACAAGTAACCATGTCACATTTACAGACAAGAAAATAAAAAAAACACACAAGTGAAATGTCGGTTTATATCCAAGTACCAATCTGCTTCAAACGAAATTTAAATGTCGTTAGTTTATTAAATTAACTTCCTTCTATTTAAAAATAATAAGACCACCGAGGCATCGACGTCTTAGCGTGTGGGCACGTTGGACGTTTTCCGGGGGCCCCCACACTAATTTATGCACAGAACAGAATTTAACGCTAAGTTTTCTATCGTCCGCGGGTCGTGTAGGCAAAACCCAGTGGATTGCTTTGCCCAAAGGTTTATAATACTGTTGTGATGCCCCTGCACCGAAGACCGAGCGGAAACTTGGTAGTTGGACACGATTTCGTGCCTCATCAAAGGGCTGGACTTATGGAGTTTCTCGGAGATTCTTCGCGAGTTTAACGCTTAAATAGGGAGCAGTTTACTACAGAGAATCTTCCCTAAAGTCACTCAGATTGCCCATAAACATATGGGTAATCTGCCAAAGTTTTGCCTCGCATTGCCCCCCTATTCCATCAAACCAATCTAAAATAATTGATATAAAATACGACGATATCTTTATACGCTACATAACATTCAATTTAATAATTTAAATGGTTAATGATGCATATACAAGTCTTAAATAATAAGAGATTACTATAATATTTATGTATTAAACTGAAGTAGCCTAATTATTAAATTTATCAATTATTACAGAAAATATCGATCGTGTCTGTTAAAACTTTTTGTCTTAACAAATATTTATTTAAATTGCTTGATAATAATAATATTCGGCAATCGTTAGAGCATGAAAAATGAATTTAAAAAAGAAAGATATAAATCTATTTTCAGTAGAATAACAATAATAATATTTATAACTTGAAATAAATAGTAGTAGATTTTTTTACTTCTATTTTAAAAAAGTAATTAACTTAAAATATTTATGTATTACTTTTTAAATAAATATATTATTTCTTAAAACTTAACCTTCGAAGTATCTTTTGTTATGGTCCACCAATGACAGAGTGAATAAAATGGCTGAATTCGCGCGATTTCTTCACGCTTCTAACACCTAAATAGGACCAATTCCCCGTAGAAAGAGGTCCACTAGTGTCCGAGTAGATAAAACTACTAAATACAATTGGTTGCGGGTTCGTGTTTCGCCAACCCGCATTGGTTTCGGGATTTTCTTCATGTGTCTAAATTCTGAAATTACAGAGGTTGCAGCCGACGTTTTCATTGCGAAAACGTGAACGTCGGACGTTCAGCGCCGCCTTTCTGTAAGCCTAGAAGTTTAACAATGACGTTTGGAACGTCAGTGAATCGTGCTCGACGTTCCAAACGCCATTGTTAAACTTCTAGGCTTACAGGAAGGCGGCGTTGAACGTCCGACGTTCACGTTTTCGCAATGAAAACGTCGGCCGCAACCTCTCTATTATAAACAGTCTATTCACTTCAGAAGAAAAAATTGTATTTAATTATACAGTAAAACTTGTGTAAACCAAACTCAAACTGTACGGAATATATTTTCCGGTTTGTCATGTTTCCGTTAAGAACAGGTTTTTTTTTTTTTCAACACAGAAAATCGCTGCCTACTTAAGAATTCTTCACGTTTTTGTAGGTTTTAAGGTTCCGTTTTGAACAGGTTTCACTGTATCTCGATTTATATATTATATTCTTTTAATAAACTACCTAAAATTACATAAAAAGACAGAATTTAAGTAGCTACGTCGGTAATTTTTAATTTAATGCAAATCTATTGTGCAACAGTTCAGGATACGAAGTAAAATGATAATAAATGAAATAGTTTTCCGGGATATCCGAAAATGCACAATAATAAAGCGTGACGTTCCGTGGAACATTAAATTATTCGGTATTATGAATCCAGGTTTGTATAATCAAATGCCTGAAACCTATGTTAAACAAAGGAAATTTTTATATGATAAATTATTAGCACTTCAAAGAATGATGGAAAATCTTTCGATTTATAAGATATTCAAACAAGTTTTCAAGGTCTACTTCAGAAAATATTAATATAATATAATGTAATTTAAATATAATATCAAAGAAACGAAATAATAATGATAATTTACTACGTAATTTATTCATAGCCATCGCCAGATATCATTGAATATCAGAAAAAGATTAGCTGCTCTCCAATTAGTAAGTGTTTATTATTTATTTTATTAATATTTTACTGTAATTTTTATAGAGGAAATTTATATTTTGATAGATGTATACTACCCGAGACCAATACCAGAACCAGATTATTCTGACAATGATGAAAGTTGTTCGCTTTATCCTTCAAAAACATTTAATCCTTGCCTGCAATCCTCCGAGAGACGGCAGCTTCATAGGGAATTACTATGGTATACGAAGATGTAAGTGGTATATATACATTTTTTTTTAATGTTAATTTATTTAAAAACCTATAAATGTGGACATTTGTGATAGGGGAAGAGATATTCTTCGTCCAAAAACCGAATTAAAAACAGTTCTAGAAGCTGTTCGCTGCAAAAGAAAAAAGCCAAAGGAAATTGTTCCTCCAAGGTTGACTGAATTGGAAATGAAATTACAAGAAAGAAGAAAGAGATTAGAACAGGTATTAGAGTTAGATGATACGTTAAAAAAATTATAAACTAAAAATTCCAAGCTTAAAACATTATAAAAACATATCTAAAATCATCTAAAGTAGCCCAACTCACAAGTGGTCCAATGAATAAAACCACTGAACACTCGTGTTACAGGTTCGTACCTTACCAAGGGGTTGCCACGTGGAGTTTGCACTGAAATAGGGGCCAATTTCTCATAGAAAAGACCTCACGGGAGACACCTTTCCAGCTTATTAGATCGTAAAGTAGAATGTACAGATAGAAAGGTATGATGTATAGGGGAAAGACACTACTACAGTAGTAATCTGAGATGGAGAACATATATTTTAAATGAAATAAATTAAAAATATGATTAAAAATTGTGACGATGTCACAATAAATAATTGCTCGTCTTAATTAAGAAGTTAATCATTTCAAAATTCTACGCTTTAAAGTACTTTTTAAAGTACTTTTTAAAGTACTTTCGAGACAAATGTTCCTCCCGGAAATATGTCCCTTAGGAGAGGTTATTTTGAAAGAGGAGCGTAAGTTCAACTATATACATCTATTTCCTAATGCTAGAGATAACAAGAAAGCTTCCCGGATCATAAATTTGTTTATAAACCTCTCCAAATGCTTGTTAAACAAATCCCCAGAGATGATTTTATGAGACTTCCTGCGTGTTATTTATTTTTCCACCATAACGTACAGAAAAATTCTTTTACGTCTTCACTCAACAGATATAACACACAAATTAAATATAGAGAAAGACAAATATTTCCTTCGTTTTCATTTCATATTTACATTTTTAAAAGAAAAACGAGCCCATTTATTGTATATTTATATAAAACACCTTTCCCAGAAAGGAAATGGAGCTGATGTTTATTAGTTTACATAGTTTCGTGCTCGTTATCGAGTTAAATATAACGTATTCGAAAATTATACTATGTAATTTATTTGAAATTTCTGATCTTTTTTGCAAGAACTACGAGATTTATATGTCAAGTCCTTTAACGTGTCAGTCTTTAACAATCAACAACACTTACTTCAAGCAAATACTTTATTATATGGGATATGAGTAGTTTATGCTATAAGCTCGACAGCTCCCGATTGCAGGAGTAAAAATGTCAGAATATTTGGGTGTTTTTTACTCTCGGTAATATCAATATGCTTCCTCCTATTCTTTACAACGTTTTAATAGTCTATATATCCCAAAGTTTATCGTGTTATGGAGTAAATGTGAAGGGAATGAGCATCAATTTGGATGAATTCCGGGAGTTTCTTTACATCAAGAGCCAAATTTTATCTTTACACGAAATTTTTATTCGGTTCTATTTTATTCGACACCGTGAGACAGTGCTACGTTGCTCTATTCCATCGATTCAATCCAATCCAAACTAATGAGATGCTGAAGAGTTCCTCCCTCACTTAAATACACACTAAATGCCTAAATTAAAGACTAAACAGAAGAATTCCGATTATTCTGAGAGAGTAGAAGAGTTAATTTATAGATTTAAAGTTACTTTAGACACTTGTAACTTATTGTTTTATTCGACAGATGGAAGAACAGAAAGATAAACGAAGGCAGAAAGAAGAATTTCCCGAATTTGTAAGAGTTCGATCTCGAATATTTCCTTTTCTGAGCCAAGATTTAAATTCCGATGCAGATACTTAACATCAAGATGGATACAGTTTTATGAATAGGAAAGAATTTCATCGATTCTTAATATGTATATAAATGCACGAAAGTATGTTAAATGTAATCACTAAATGTCTGTGTATTTTCGAAGCTTTCACACTATTAATATTTTCATATAATTTACTTATAGATGTAAATTCGTGTAAAACTATAAAACAGAGTTTATTAATAACAATAGTGTATTATTTCCCTATTCTATTTGGGACTTTCTTTATTATTTATATTTTTCCTATTAAATTAAAACTATTAATTATTTTTTAATAAAATTTTTATATTTAAAATTTTACAGTATAAATACATAAACATAATTTAATATTAATTAAGATCCCTAAACAATTAGGCCTATATATATACTTTTTTGGGTTTTTTTCCCAATTATAGAATACAGTATTCCATCAATACAAATAGACAGAAAAAAACGTCCCATGGTCGAGTGTTTAAGGTTAAGTATTTAAATCCCTTTTTACGATTATAATTTGTGGAATTTTTTTTAATTTCTCTCTTAGGAGAGGACAAGTGCCCCATTTGTTTCCTCTGCGGACGGTCTTGTTTTGTTTGTTCACCTATTGTTATTAATACTGGATAGAAATGCCCAGGAATGCTTAATCTGTTTAACAATTCATCTACATTTTTAAGAATATATTTTGATATTTCTATTGAATTTAGTTTATCTTATAAGAATTTTTAATACTCCCCCTGTGTAAGAAACCGTAAAATTTTCTTTCACCCCTTCCCTATCTTACGTAATATTTAGGCATAATTGATTGTCTGAGGCACCTTAAATAGCCCTGTTATTTTAAAGTGAGTAATTTGACAGAAATCTAGCAGGCAAAATCGTACGAAGATTACTTCTAATCAAGCAACAACACTCAACATCATCGCACTTAGTTACTACGTGTATTAGAATAGGCGATTGTTTCTGAGTCGCTTTTAAACCGATAGGCACCCGTGCCTTATCATCTTGTGAAATAAATGCAACTTGTTTCGGTCCAAGAGCAGAAGCTAGCGATTCTAAAGCACGTATCGAGGCTGTACAAAACCGACTATCGGGATGAGCTTTATGGCTGTTCATTTTGAGCTCGGCATAATTTCACGGGTGCGGTTGTTATATGTCTTTTTTCTTCGATGGTATTACAATTACTCGGAAGAAGTCGCAAATATGTAACGTTTCTAGATAAATTAAAACCTTTTTCCAAAAATTTTGTATGCAAATTATTAATAAGGAAGCAAAAACGTATAAAAAAGCAACTTAATATACAACGTACAGCACAGTCGGCCACCCTATAACACTGTTGATTATTCCGTTTTATATGAATTCCATGTTGTACGAGTCATTTAGATTTTACATATACGTGTTCCGGGCTGTGGACGGCTCAGGTATTTGTAAAATCTAAGTGACTCGTACAACATGAAATTCATATAAAACGGAATTATCAACAGTGTTATAGGGGGGGTCGACTTGTACAGTATTTTACTAAAATACGACAAGCCAACTTTTCTATTTTTATCTCGAGTGTCCTAATGGTTTTTAGGTTGTTGTATAAAAGAAGTGAACCCTTTCGTATTAGTGCCGTATCGTGTTTTTTCTTCGGACCATTCAAGATTTGCATCTTTTTGAACGTTATCACTTTTCGGCATGTGCTTTTTTATATGACTCGAAGAATCTTTGATAAACATCATCTAAGTTTATATTTTACATTTTAAATTTCAATAATATACTGGTGATTCTGATATATTGATAAAAGTTAACTTTATTTCATGACTAGTACAGTAAGACCCCGTCTAACACCGGGTGTATGTTCCTAGACGACAAAGCGCTAAACGAAACAACGTTAAACGAAGTCATTTTAACACAGAGTAAATAGATAAACGGGAATAATACGCGGCCAAAAATAAACAGATTTTACTTTAATTTTGTTATTTTTAATTAGCACATGTTAAATAACACAAACATATGCACACAGAAATGTAAAGTTCATTTTTTGTGATGAAGGTTCTGGCTTTTCTGAAATTTTCTGAAATTTAATAAGGAAATCTGTAGAGAAATTCTTTGGGTTCTTCGTTTTCAGAATCTCTATTTTCCAGTGTTCTGCCAGTTCTTGAAAATCGTTGGTAAGGCTCTTACCAGAAACCTGCAGTAACTCCTCAATATTCTGCTCGTCTACATCTAGTCCTGCCGTATCGATTAGGTTGACAATTTGGTGAACGATAGGCTCTTCTCGTTGAGAATTCCTGGATACCGTCATCCATAACCTCTTTCACACTCCACCCATGCATTTATCAGTTAATTCTTGCCAAGCGAAGTCGGCATTGCTTATAGTTCTTTGATGCAAGAACGATTTGCTTTATATTTTGGAAAAATTTTCATGTTATACAACGAAATTCCAGCGTACATGTTGCGATTAGATTTTGGAATTTCTAGAATATCCGTACAGTAAGACCCCGCTTAACGCTGATTCGATATAACGCGGTCTGCTCGAAGCAAAAAAAAAAAAAAGCTCAAAATATACGCCGATTCAAATTATCTTGGCATTTCATTGATTCGTATATAATACGATTATTCTATCCGTCCCCATAACTTCGTTTTGATTTGCAACCTGTTAACGCCATCTAGGGGGATTCAAAAATCTTATCTTAAGAAAATGCTTGTATAAAGCAACCCACCAGTGGGAGTTCGGTCGTGGGTTCGAGCCTCGCCAGGACGGGCCAAGATCTATATAAGAAGGTCAAGACACGCGTGACCTACTTCTTGAGCCGCCATTTTGGGGTTTTTTGAATCGCATATTTAAGCGAACTTGTACGAGCAGTCATTTATACGACATTAATTAAACTAAAGTTGAATAAATCCAATGACTTTTAGTCAAAAATATAATAATTTCGGATGATTACTCAACCCCAATCTTATGTAACGTTTTCATCAAATAGTTTAAAAGAAACAATCATCCGTATCATTTGCTGTCGTGATTGAAACAAATTAAATAGGTGCTAAAACTTATGCAATTACATATATAAGAACTTCGTAAAGCGATGCAATAACATCAAAAAAAATTTAAAGTATAATAAAGAATATAATAATATAACAAATTTATAATTATTTTTTAAAAGCACGATTGGCTATAAAATTAAGATAAAATTCAATAGTATTATTAATAAATGTTGTCAATGTAATACTCATTTTATAATAAGTAATAGATGTGTAGATATATTTTTAATTTATATACTTATTGCTTTTATAAATTAAGACATATAATTTTAATTATAAAAACATAATCATAGATGTTGTGTTGTTATGACAATGGTACGGGGTACATTAGCTTTTAAATAAAATTTGTTATGGAATTTCTGAAAATGAAAATATGTTTTTGAACACAAATGAACATTAGTACAATTAACTTTGCTTTTAATTTTATTGAAAAGAAGCATAATTAATTCTTAAATACTCTTTCAACACTTTTCTTATTTCTTAATCTTAATATACAGGAGTAAAAAAAAATTAAAATTGTATGCATAAATTTATACTCAGAGAAAACTGTTTTTCTACATTTTAGAAATTCTTCCTGTAACTGCATTATATCTGGAAATTAATAGTTTTGAAATATTTATTTGGAGTAANATATATATATTACATGTCCTGTTTGAAAGGTCTGGGGATTGTAAAAATATACGTTAAGTAAAGGTAACCGCTATTCAGTTGTACCCATAAATGAATGTTTCACGTTAATATCAAAAAACATGGACGGTGTTTCGACCCCGTTCTCTATTATATACAATAATGAACTTTTCGTGACCCCTTTCCCCTTAAATTTCACATTTAATTAGACGGTACTCTTGAGATTTCATTTTAAATTACAAAACACTTACTGAAACTCTTTTATTCATAACTTTTTACTTTCATTCGAGCAAGTGTAAGAACGTGTAAGTTAATATACATATATTTTGACGTGCTTCCTAGTGTATAAAAACAATATTTCTTAATCGAAACAGGTTATGCCAATTAAGAAACCGTGTTACCTATTGATAAACTAAACAATGGAAAAAATAAATAAATAAATAACTACGAACATATCGCAAAACTGCATTAACTAAACGCGCAACCGATTGTATACAAACTTCTTGCCTAATTAACCGAGTCCATTAGCCGGATATCTCGAAAATGAATCAACTGAATGGTTTCCTGTCGGGACAGAAAAGTGAACTTTCCAGATAAACTTCCGTTCATGCGCAAGAAACAACTGTCAAAAGTTCAAGCGGGAGAAGAAGAAGAAGACGAAGAAGAAGAAGAAAAAAAAACTTGTCCGTTCACACTGCCGCAACTTCCCATATGGAATTATTTTTAGTTGTCGATTACTGTTTAATATGTATGTGGATATGACCCTTTCGCGGATTGAATTATGGATAAAAAAACCATTCTAAGCTTCTAAATATAACTGGAAACGTAAGTTTATCCTTCTTTTTCTCTTTATTTAACTTTATAAATGTGCCAAATCGTTATTTGCTGTTATAAATTACGCGAAAAATACATACAAAATTGAACGGTTGATTTTTTTTCAACGCATGTAAGTTAAATAAAAATTTAAACTTTAAAATCTATATTATAAGAATTATTTATCCGATTATATATGTAATTTTAATATAAAGTACGCGAAAATATTTGTTATTGTAATTTGATTGCGCATTGTTCAATACATAGTTTATGTTAATTTCAAGGTGAATTGGTTAAGAGGAATGTTGTAGTTTTCGCGGAATCGCTTCACTAACTTGAATGTATTTTCTATTGATTATCCTTTATAATAAGACAATTCCTATCAATAAATCACACACAGCATATTATGTATATTTATGCCAGTTTCTTTTTAAAAATTTATCAGTTTATTAATTAATTAAAAAATTAAAACTAAACATATAAAAGTGTGTGAAGGGTAGAAGTTACTTTTAATTAATTTAACAATATGTGAATGAATGACCTAAAAGTAACTCCTACTCAAATTACTTGTAAATCATTAAAATCTTTTTTATATAAGAACTTATATTCATTTTTAAATAAATATAGGCCTATATATATTGTTGGATCCTTGAAATAAATTTAGCGGGT